AGGGAACCAACCAAAAAATTGAACAAGAGCAGCCAGTATGGTGGGAGGAGAAGCAGGAGAAAGGGGTGCACAAGAGCCAAAGAAGGAAGGGAGTCACCAACCGCATCAAATGCCACTATTTGGTCTAACATGGTGAAGACTGAGAACTGTCCACTGGATTTTGGAAGACAAAACCCACCACAGCAACGCTGTAACAGTGGTGGAGAGGTGAGGGGGAGAAGGTTAGGGGTGGCGAAGACTAAAGCCTGACTGGAGTGGGCTGCAGAGAAACTGGGAAGGGAAGAGGTGGAAGAGTGGGTTTAGACAAATCAGGCACAACTTTCACAGCCTTTTGCTATAAAAAGGACCAAAAACGGGGCAGTTATCTGAAGAGAAATATGTGGTCAGGAAGGATTTTTTTTTTTTAAGATGGAAACTCTTACGTCATCTTTGTATGTTGCTAAGAATGAGCAGGTCAAGAGGGAAAAAATCAATAGTGTAGGAGTGAGGAGATTATTGCAGGTGTTATGTTCGTGACCAGGGGACAGGATGTAGGATTAAGTAGATCAACTGCCTTCAATAGGAGCAGACAGTGCATCCTCCTTAACAGTTGGGGGTATCTAGGGACACATGCAGGTGGTAGGGAGATGAGAAAGATTTTTTCAGTTTTCTCAGCAAAAGTAAGAAGCAAGGTTTGTGTGGTGGGAGGAGAAGCAGGAGAAAGGGGTGCACAAGAGCCAAAGAAGGAAGGGAATCGCCTTATGGGGTGATCCCTAGAAAAGGCAGAAACAGCTTCTGTAGACAGAGACAATAACAAGCCTTAGGCTGGATGCATGGGGATGCCAGAGCCCACCTGGCAGCCCAGCTCTCAGCAAGGGACCTGCCAAGCCCATTTCTAAGAAAAGAAATACCTACTTTGCAGCCAGGAGGGGGCAAAAGAAGGCAAACCTTTTGGGGAATCAGGACCAGGCAGAGAAATACTCAAAACCTTTTAACAATGCCTTAAAAATAAAATCTTTGATCCATTTGCTCTCAATTTTCCCAGTGAATTCTTCCTACTCAATGAAAAAAAATACTAATGTTTCAATAGGAAAAAATAGGCTAAGGTCAATTACAAAGAATCCACATGTTTAAAAAAAAAAAATGTGAATGGCCAAAAATTTAAAAAAAAAAAAAAGCTGTATTTTATCCATAGAGACAGAAAGTGGGTGGTGGCTGCCAATGACTGGGTACAGGGGAGGGGCAGGGTATTAAGTGTTTAATGGAAACAGAGTTTCAGTTTGGGAAGATGAAAAAGTTCTGAAGGTGGATAGTGGTGATGGTTATACAATATGGTTGGGTTTTTTTGTTTGTTTGTTTGTTTTTTGTGTATGTATGCTTGGGAATTTGAATCCAGGGCATCATGCATGCCAGGCAAGCACTTTTCCACTGAGTCACATCCCCAGCCCAATAATGGGTGTTCTTATTACCACTGAACTATACACTTAAAAATGAGTAATATGGTGCATTTTGTTAAATGTAGTTTAACACAATTTTCTTTAAAATTACATTTTATTGGCCAAAAAAAATGCAAATTAAAACAATAGGGTGACACTTTGCATGTAAGCTATGTCTTTGGCGAGGACACATAGTAGGCAAGGAGATCTGCCGAATGAGTTAATGTCCCCTAGGGTTGACAGGTGGGGGATGAGCCCCCTCCCAACCTGCTGGGTGCAGGTTAAGCAGATGTCATTTTCCCAGAGAGCCATGGGACTCAAATATTTTGAGTGCTTTATCTGTCAGCAATCTATTCTAAAGAAATAGTAGCCAGGCTCAGAATAACTAAATGCATATGCCTTGATCCACTGCATGCTGGAAGGCCAGAGGGTACCACCAGTGGACAACAACCGGGAGAAATGTCTGAATGATACAAAGAACAGTGGACAAGAGACCAGGACCCCACCACCCTGTCCAGCTCCAAGAAGACTGTGAGTTTCCTGGCAGAAATCTGATATCACCCTAAAATCAGAAACTAGAGGAGCTGGAAAGAGAAAGAGTGGAGAAGGAGGTCAGCAGTCCATCTGTATATTATTTAAAGGGATCAGAACATCTGAGTCAGGTGTCTCTAACACACTTTGTAACACACATCTTTTCAGACTTGCCAGCTCTAATGTGTGTATCAGCAGGACATAATGCAAGATATATGGGAGGTTGTGTTCACAGTGGCAGTATCTGAAAGCAAAAATATTAATAATAGGCAGCAAAAATGGTTAATAAACTGTAGCACATTTATGTGTTGGAATATTACTTGTCACTAAAAATTATTATATTTCAGAATCTAAATGACTTAAGAAAAGGCTTACAGTATAATGGTAAAAATTTAGACAACTAGCAAAATTTGAATCAGGTCTATGGGTTAGATAATAATTCTGTATCAATGTTGATCTTCCTGATTTTGATAATCATGCAGTAGTTAAAAAAGAAAGTAACACTGCATGGTGGCACACATCTGTAATCCCAAATTCAGGAGGCTGAAGCAGGAGAATCATAAGTTTGAGGCCAGCCTCAGGGATGTAGTGAGGCCCTAAGCAACTTAGTGAAATCCTGGGGCTGGAGGGTGTGGCTCAGTGGTAAAAAATCCCTGGGTTCAATCTCCAGCACCAAAAAAAAAATCCCTGTTTTTAGGAATATACACAGTACAAGACTTCAAAGTACCCAAAGGAAAGGAAGTGGGGAGATCATGAATACACTTACTCCCAAATTATTTCAAGAAAAAAAAATATATCAAGAGAATGATGAAGCAAAATGTTAACAATGGGAGAATCTGGTAGAGGTTATAATTTTTAACAAAAGCAATAACCCAACTTTGGGGGGGAAAAAAGAGCTAAGAAATGGATAGGAAACTCACAGGAAAATAAACATGTCTAACAAAATTACATGGAGTAATCATCAACTTCACTAATGAGAGAAATGCAAATTAGAACAATAATGAGTTCTTGTTTTTTTTACCCATGTCAGCAAAGATGTGGGAAAACAGGCATTCTCAGACATTTTTGGTACTGCCTTTCAGACTTATCAGCAGTTCTCTAATGAATTTGGAAATGTGCATGCCCTTTGATGCATCGAGTCCACTTTTGGAAATCTGTTCCACAGACTGAAAAAGTCAGGTATAAAATCTCATGGAGAACATAATCCTTACTAGGTTAATTAAAAAGCTACAAGTAAATCACAAAAATGGTAACAATTATTATCTCCAGCCTTTAAAAAGGAGACTTTCTTCTCTTCATTCCTTAATAAAAAAAAAAAAAAAGAAGAAGAAGAAGAAGAAGAAGAAGATGCCTTAAAACAACTAGAATACAAATAAAAGCAAATTTACTTAACCTCTAAGTACCCACCACCCACCATTATTATTATTTTTGGGGGGTGAGGGACTGGGGATTGAACTCAGGAGCCTTTAACCACTGAACCACATCCTCAGCCCATTTTTATATTTTATTTAGAGACTGGGTCTCCCTGAGTTGCTTAGGGCCGGCTATGAAATTGTGATCCTCCTGCCTCAGCTTTCTGAGCTGCTGGGATTATAGGCGCCAGCCACTGTGCCCACAAGGCTCACCCAGCATCATTGACAAATATTGATGGTTACAGGGAAATAAATCAGTAGATACATTTGAAGACCATCCAATCTTTCCATCCTTTTCTTCTGAGGTTCCTTTTTGTGCATGCATGCACGCACGTTTGCGCACGTATGTGTGTGTGTGTGTGTATATATATATATATATATATATATATATATATATATATATATATATTTGTGTGTGTGTGTGTGTGGTGCTGGAGGTTGAACCCAGAGCCTTGTGCATGTGAGACAAGCACTCTACCAATTGAGCTATATCTTGAAGTTCCTTCTTTAAGCTTTTCAGTATGTCCCAATGACAGTCTTTACTCTTATAACAACTAAAGCCTTTTTAAAAGCAACATTGACCATGCATGTATAATACATCAATATATACTCTACTGCCATGTATATCTAAAAAGAACAATTTTTTAAAAAAGAAAACCAACATTGGATATAAATAAGCAATTGGTCTGCACACTGCTTATTATGCCCAGGGACTTTGGAGATTCCCTCCAACTACTTTGCAGTGTTGTTGGGTATCTCCATTTGCATGAGATAAGACTGACTGGTTTCAGGGTTCTGAGGTGGTATCAAATGTCATGTGGGAACCAGTAGCTTTCACATTCGAGTGCCCAGGTAACTGCAGTAGAATTCTTCCATGGAATACTGGTGAACTAGCAGCTGCAAAATGACCAACCCAAATGGAAGGACTGTGCTGATCACCTTTCTGGTTCAACTACTTGGTCACTGTTGAGGAAATTAAGATCCAGGGTAACCATGTGTCTTGCCGAAGACCTAACCCCAGGTCTGATGTGGAAACGGGCATCACCAGCTGCCTGGGACTGGATTCTCTTGCTTTTCCCTTTTTGAAAAGTGAAGATGAAAAGGCACCCAGGCCACGTTTGAGAAGGTGTTCCCAGAATAGTTCCACTGAAAAAAGGCTCCCTCCTCAGATTTCCCACAGGGTGAACCTGGCCAGTGCCCCCTGCAGTGAACTAAAGCATAGAAGAGAAGGGGTTTTCCTTAGACCTGAAGCATTGTTCTTATTCAGGATGAGATTTAAAACTTTTGAAGTCTTCTTGTTGACTCATCCCTGCCCCTCAGGAGTTAGTTCTTGGACCCCCTAGAATGATAAGAAAACTATACAATTGGTTTTATTGCTGGGACTCAGAGACACATAGCTCTTAAGGGGGAAAAAGTAGCTACAGTAAATGTCAGTTCACCTGAGCCAACACAATAAACCAATTACCTAAGTGAAATTCTGCCTGTCCAATAGTCCATGGGGTGGCCAACCTACAAGATGGCCCTCACCTCCTGGTAGTCACACCCTGTGCATTCCACGTTGTACCTGGGCTGGTCTGTGTGACTTACAGAATATGGCAGAAGTGAAGCCTGCTCACTGTCTCCTCTCTCTGTCTCTCTCAAGACTTACTGTCAGGAACACTGACAGCCATGTATTGAGGATGCTCAGCAGTCCTGGGGAGAAGCCTCTGGAGAAAAACCAAAGACTCCAGGTAAGGGTCACCTGATGCTCTTATAAAAGCAGACCCTCCAGCGCTGGTCCAGGTTTGACCACAATCCCATGAGACAGCCTGAGTCAGAAGCATCCGGCTAAGCCACCTGGATTTCTGATCCAGAAATTTGGAGATGGTCAATGTTTGTCACTTTAAGCCTCTGGTTTGGGGGGTAATCTGTAATATCTCCCAACAGGTAATCAAACTCCCTATCCTTCCACATCTAGTATGCTATAAACGAAGTCTCTACCAAACTGTATTTACAGGTTAAAAAAGTGTTGGTCACTCGAACTCTAGATAGGGCAGAGGGGTGGGCGGAGAAGGGAGCTAATTAAACTCAAATGCTAAAAGATAATTCAAAGGACTACAAAATCACCACTGGACTATCCAATACCCAAGCAAATTATAAATATCAAAGAAGGGTTGGGAAACTCTTTCTTTTATGGGGCTTTAGGGGAACTACCTTCCCAGCAAGTTCTCCCTGAGGTAGCTAAGGATTTCAGGATCTAGGACAACACATCAGGGGTTTAGGTACATCCTGGCTGAATTTGTCTTCTCTTTTCTCTTTCTTCAAAACACTATAAATCAAAGGCCCAAGCTAAACCTATATGTCAAACCTGGTGATGAAAAGGAGACAAGACCAAAGGGAACATAAATAAAATCTTTCCCTGTGAGATAGTATGGTCAGACTCAAGTAATATTTTTTTCTTTATTTTATAAAGTTTCCCTTGTCTTTTGCAATGATTCATTTTTAAACTTTCCCAGGTGAAAATATCACTGTGGGAGAATTTTTGCTAATCTCAATATTTTGGGGGCTGGTTTGTTGATTGTTTCATCACTAGGCAGTAAACTACAAAATGGCAGAGACTGATTGCATTTAACTCACACTTCATCCCCCCCTAATAAGTGCCAGCACTGTGCTAGCTTATTAATATCTGCTGAATAAATGCACTGAATTTGCTTTCCATCTCTGAAAGCCTACCAAAGAATATCTGTTGAGTGCTTATGACTATAGCATAGTACAAATGCTGCCAGGGCCATAAAACTTGATATAGAATATTACTTCAAGTATTTAGAAAGATTCTCAAGTCCTCATTGTTTGTCCACTTGGACCCAATAGGTTTTCAGGCATGAACATAAAAATATGGCTTTTCTGGCAAGTTATGTAATAGTTAAATATTCTATACCATTCCTTTGGTACCTGAAATCAAAAGGCATTCATTGAGTACTTCCTATATTTGATGGAGGCAAAGCAATTATGAAGATGAGCATTATAGTTAATAAGCAAAGTTGGGATTGGAAATAATAGATACAGATAAGAGTATAGATGATTCTTTATATTCTTTCAGATGTTCTATATCTGTTCAGATTCTTCTATATTTAGCATGGATTGGTTTTAAAGTCAGAAGAAAATAAATGGTCCTCCAACAGGGGTGGAAGGGGGAAAACAGTATTCGGGCAAATCAATAAAAATGAGTACATGGAGAGATAATACCTGATAGTTAACCATATGATCAAAAGCATGAGCTTTGAAGTCTGCAGATCTGGGTTCAAATCTTAGCTCTGCTGCATATTAGCTGGGTCTCTGAGCGGATAACTTTGCCTTTCTTAGGCTCAGTTTCCTGATCTGTGAAATAGTGATAAAGGGTGCTCTTTAGATAGAGAATGAGGATTTGAAAAGATGAAACAATGAAGGATCTTGGCATACTGAGAAAGGTGCCTACTATATCTATATCATTATGGGTGATGGGAGTAATATTTGTTGCAGCTCTATCAGCCCTGAAACTACTTCCTAATACATAGCTATACAGCCTTCCCCTGCTCTGTTCTTCTATCACCTGTTTTGCTCTTTCTTCTCTACTTTTTTTTTTACTCCACTGGCTTTGTCTCCACCAATAGAAACCAGTAATTCCCACAGTGTGCTTAGGTCTGCTGAAGGAAGGACATGGGATTTAGTCAAGGGCCGGGCTCCTGCCATCTTGCCAACCCAGTATGTGCTGTCAAGCTCTTACTCACTCTTGGCAACTCTGGGTTATCTAACCTATAAAATGGGAACTGGTCCAGGCATAGTGTGCACGCCTGTACTCCTAGTGACTCTGGAGACTAATGCAGGAGGATTGTAAGTTCTAGGTCAGCCTCAGAAATTTAGCAAAACCCTGTCTCAAAATAAAAAGTAAAAAGGACTAGGGATGTGGCTCAGAGTAAAGTGCCCCTGGGGTCAATCCTCCAGTACCCTCCCCCCCAAAATGGTGACTGGATCCTGAATTTACTTACAAGAGAAAAATATCAAGATGCTGGGTGTGGTGGTGCATGCCTATAATTCCAGCAACTTGGGAGGCTGAAGCAGGATGACTGTAAGTTTGAGACAGCCTCAGCAATTTAGCAAGATCCTGTCTCAAAATAAAAAATAAGGGCTGTGAATGTAGCTCAGTGGTAAAGCACCTCTGGGTTCAATCCCCACTACCAAATATATACATATATCAAAAGAAAAATCTAATTAAACAGCCTTCAGCAATGACAGAATAACTGGACTAGACTTTTTATTCTGCAGTAAACAATTAGAAAACTGGGTGAAATGTATAAAACAATTATTTTCAGATACTGAACTCTGGTGGTATAAAACTTTCATCCCTGAGCAAAGGGAAACAAGTAAAGTATGCCTACAATTGCCCTACCTTTCTGCCTGAAAGCACTATCTAGACCACAGTGTAGGGAGAGGGAATCTAAGCAGAGCATAGCAGTCTTACTGACTCTCAGCAGTCTCCAATCTCCCCACTGAGACAGAGATCAGAGATTCAGATACTTGGATGTGTGCAGCAGAGTCCTGGGGAGAGACAGCCACACAGAGAAAGGGCTTCAGGAATCAGCAAAGGGATTCTTCTGAGTCTTCCTCAGCATTAAACTGTTCATGTTTAGAATGAAACTCCATAAAAGCAGTCAAAGCCAGGAGAGCTGAGAACTGAACAGCTCCCACAGCTCTCACAGGGTTGGGAAACACACATGTCCTGACAGCCAGAGTGGAGAGATTGGTGGAAAACCTGGATTATTCAGGAAAGACGCAGAAATGCCACACATCAGTATGGCATCTAGTCAGAGAGTAAGTGCTACTCTAAAATCTCCCCCATGATCTTAAAAGCAAGCCTTGAAAGGATCACAATGATGAGTGAGTAACTTAACTGCCTTCCAAAACAAACTTTAATATTTTTTGAAGAAAGAGAACAAAATCCAGACACTCAACAATGTAATATTATTAAGTCCAGCATCTAATAAAAATATTAGATAGGAGAAGCAGGAATATACAATCTATACCCAGAAGAAAAATCAGGCAGTAGAAACAGATGTTGAAATTACAGAGATGATGAAATTAGCAGGCAAAGATTTCAAAGTAGCTATTATAAATATCCTTAAAAACTTAAAGAAAAGCATGAACATAATGTACAAAGGAATAGGAATATCCATGATAAGTTTTTAAACTGGCCTTTTATACTGTTATACATTTTAGTCATAAATTAACTCTTGAGTAGGATGTGATGTCACAAAAAAAGTATGAAATGGAGTCAAACCAGGAGATCAAGTTCCAGTTCTGCCAATGTCTTGCTATGGTCCTCAGATCCTTACCTGAATTTTTTAAGAGCTAGTTTCCTCAGTTTCCCTATCTGTAAATTGTAGATGTTGACCTTAATAATTTTCCTATTTTTAGACTCATACTGCCTCCTGTTCACCCACAGACAATGGATTCCTAAAGACAAGAATTCACTTATTCAGCATTTCGCTTGATTTTCACTTTTCATTTTTCAATCAGGTTGTGTTTGACAAATCCTGGGTTTGCAATACTGGAACTTTTTATATCCAGAGAGAAATCTTCAGTGATTTTTGAATCCTTCTTCCCTGGGAACCCTTATTTAAAACCAGAAAATTACCAGATGCTGCAGAATATAACTGTACTTGGGAGGCTGAGGCAGGAGGATCATGAGTACTAGACTAGTCTGGATAATTTAGCAAGACCCCCTCCTGAAATAAAATAAAAAGAGCTGAGGATATAGCTCAGAAGCAGAACATTCCTGGGTTCAATCCCCAGTATGTATGTATGTATGTATGGATGGATGGATGGATGGATGTGTGTATAAATACAGAAAATCATCACTCAAAGAGAAGGTGTCTTTTGGGTGTTACATTTACAATAAAATCACAAAAATTTTTTTTTTTTTTTTTTTTTGGTACTGGGGATTGAACTCAGGGGCACTCAACCACTGAGCCACATCCCCAGCCCTATTTTATATTTTATTTAGAGACAGGGTCTCACTGAGTTGCTTAGTGCCTTGCCATTGCTGAGGCTAACTTTGAACTCGTGATCCTCCTGCCTCAGCCTCCTGAGCTGCTGGGATTCCAGGTGTGTGCAGCTGCACCAGGCCACTAAAGAATTTTTTTTTAAATAAATGTAGTGACCAGGCACAGTGGCACATGCCTGTAATCCCAGTGGCTTGGAAGGCTGAGGCAGGAGTATTTCAAGTTTGAAGCCAGGCTCAGTGACTTAGTGAAGTCCTAAGCAACTTAGCAAGATCCTGTCTCTAAATAATAATTTTAAAAAAGAACGTAAAATAAAAATTTTTTATTATTTTTAAATAAAAATATGTGGCTCAGTGGTTAAGTGCCCCTGGGTTCAATCCCTAGTACTGCATGTGAGAAAAGAGAGGGGAACAGGGAGAGGGAGATGAGGGGGGAGAGAGAGAGAGAGAGACAGAGAGAGAGAGAGAGAGAGAGAGAGAGAGAGAGAAGGAGAGAGAGAAAGACACTCTCTCTCTTAGTACAATCAAATCAATCATCAAGCTTATCTGGTTAGTAGGGAAAGCAGCCCAATTCTCTGCTGGGGCTATTCCTTTTCAGGGATGAATGGATTCCAGAGCCACAAGGTCTGGCAAGGAGCAAGAATAATGACAAAGAACATTGAGAAGATTCTTACTATCTCCTTCCAAGGCTCTAGTGGTATGTGTCACTAGAAA